CAAATAAGCAGCTTCTTAGTGAGCAAAGAAGAGGTGCAAAATGTCAGATCGATTCCTTAAAAACTGAGGGACTAGTTTGTATATATACAGATAGACGGACAGACAGACGGACATGGCTAAATCAACTCAGCGCAGCATGCTGATCATTTATGTATATATTTTATAGAGTCACCGACGTTTTCTGCTGGATGTTACAAACTTCGTGGCAAACTTAATATACCCTGTTCAGGATATAAAATATGCAATAAGTATGGAAGGAAGTAGTTGCTGATAAGCTAGTCAGGTATTTCAATAAAATATGCTCGTTTTGCAGTAGAGAAAACTGCGAGTCATTTGTATAAAACTATTTTCTTTAATTATTCTAATACTTTGTTTCTAATTTTTTTGTTTTGTATGCATTTGCAGCTTAATTGATTGACAGAGAATAAATGTGACGGCTAATTATAGCACAATTAAATTACTTTTGAAATATTTTCCCCACACATATGCATGCTACATACATATGTAGGTATGTGTGTAAATGTAACTAGATCTACACTTGACTTACTTACTCAGCGCTTAGTTATCGAGTGCAAAGAGCAATAAATTATCTTTGAGTGCAAGCAATAAAATCAAAACACTTTATAGAAATTTAAATTGAATTTGCCAGCGTAGCGAAGATCCAGCTACAGCGGAATGCTAAAAAACAAAGCCAGCAATAACAATAACAATAGCAATAACCACAACAAATAACAACAAACAGGCAAACATTGAAGAAATGGCAAAGAATTTGATAAAAGTGTAACGCAATTAGTTGCATGTTGTGGATGTTGTTGCTGTTCTTATTGCTGTCGACTGAAGATGTGGCCGACATGCACGCAAACTCGCACGGGCAGATAAAGATAGAATGGCGACAGGCAACGCGTGACAAAGTCATTGCAAGCAGCTGTACACACACGCACACACACAAACAAACACAAATACAAACACACACTCGTACATATGTAGATGCACATAAATACACTTAGTTACATATAAATAAATGATTGCTGCCGCCTGAGTCAGCGCATCAGGCAATCAGTCAGCCAGTCGGCAAGTCAATGAGGCAACTAAGTAATAACAGCAGCCAAGCGACAGACGGACAGACAGACAGGCGGGTAAGCGCTGTCAGCCAGCAGGTAGATAACGATAACCACTGCCGATGAAAGGCTGCTAACGTGCATGCGTTGTTGTTGTTGTTGTTGTTGTTGCTTTGGCGTGTGGCAGCAGCATGCAGCATGCGACGCTTTGCGCTGGCGGCTAAAAAATTCATATCGAGCGTGTTAGAAAAACAACAAAAAAAAAAATTAATACTAGAAAATGGGAACAACTGCAACGGCATTAGCTGTGAGACGCTGCTGTAATTGCTGGTGAGGGGGCATGCGGGTAGTGGGTCGAGGTCGCGCTACCGAACATAACAAACAAACAAGCCAAGTGAGCAAACCAAATTAGTTATTGATTTAATTTTTATTTGCTGCACGCTGATAGTGATTTTCTTGTTTTTGGTTTATGCTTTTTTACATATTTTGCTTTACTCGCTATTTCACTTTGTCGCTCGGTAATGAAGTTATTGATACTGATAGCGTTGCCATTAAATGTCAATGCAGCGTATTACAAAGCTGCAGCTACAAAAGACTGCTGTGGTTTGTTGTTCTTGTTTTTGCCTGCGTTTTTGTCATTGAGATAAGCGAGGAGCAGAGCTAGTAAGTGACCTTGGCGCATTATTTCTGGAATTTTTTTTATTTTTATTTTTCAGTGACAAGTCGCAATTAGTGTCAGCAAATGAAGTTTTCATTGAGTAATACACGGATGATTTACATATACATACATATATATATATATATATATTATATATATATATGCCTATACTCGCATATGTGTTGATTTGTAGATAATACCTGCTATTAGGTTGTAATTGGCTTACATATATTATAATAAAAAAGGCGGATATTGAAAAAATATATATAATTTACAATTTTTAATGATTTTTTTTAACTGCTCTCTTAAGAAGCCCTCTTTAGAAGCCCTCTAAGAAATGTTCAGTAGCAGTTTAGTTCAGAAGATGACGTAACTGCTACCAAATGGTTTAAATCACACGCTCTATGGCTTCTGCAAATAATAATTTGGTCTACCGTCTGATCAAATTTGACCCGGACCTGCAAAAAAATTGTATTTTAATACAAATCTTTATTATCGAAATCAAAATAGGCTCATTTCGAGCGCATACAAGCATGCCTATGTTAAATTCAATTTTCTATACACTTGTCATAAGTATCGGCTGTGTTGGCCTTCGGTGCCTTCAGTGACTATTGGCTATTTCGGTTTCGGTTTAGAGCGCCATTCTCTAGATTGTTCGACAGTTTCGACGTCATATACATAATACCACGTCTCGTTATTATGCGTTTGATGAATGTAGGGTCCTCAGGTACTTACGTTGTCAAGCATCTCTTTTGCGGACTTCTACTCGACGTTGTTAAGGTCTTTTGGTACAAGTCTAGCATTGACACGCTTCATACCCAAAACAATAACCAAAATGTGTTCGAGTCGATCCATAAGAGACGTTGAAGTCCTCTACTATCTCTTTGGTGCTAACACGTCGACTTACAAGCACTATTTCTTTAACTTTTTTGTCATTAACCGAGATGTATGGACGATTCGTATAAGGCAAGTTTTGGAAGACTTCACAACCTTCACTGAATGCTTTGTGCCACACAAATAAATTTGACTCCCAAAAACACTTCTTCAACATTTTCAATGATTCTGTAGCCGTGATTTCAAAAAAACTTGACGTAAACAAACAGCTGCTAAACAGACACTATATTTTGCATGTGGAGATCAAACGTCACACGAACTCTAAAACGGCTCTGCCAATTTAGCAAGGTTTGTTAAAAGGCTCTTTATTTGGTGGCAACAAAAGCACCTGATATATTATGAGCTTCTGAAGCCGGTTGAAACCATTAATGACGAACGCTATCGAATACAATTCATTAAATTGAAGTGAGCGACTGCCGAAAAATACTCGGATTTCGCGACAAGATACTAGACAATAATTTTCTCGTAAAAAAGTCACATAAAGAAAATTTTCCTAATTTTAACTAATTAACGATCTATAGAAGAAGTTCAACAATACTCAGACCTCATTAGGATCTCATGCAAAAAGGCACAGAAATACAGCTACAAAAAGATTACCTCTCAAAGCTCTCTATTACTATGAGTAACAGTTCAATTGTTGGCTAGTTACGTGATAGAATACCTATTACCTCAAATATTTGCTACCGATGTCAAACCTTAGTTGGAGAAAAATTCGTTCCAGTTACGTCTTTATATAGATCCGACTTTTGAGGGCATAGCTTACATAAGCGCATTGCCGCTTTGAATGCTTTAAAATCCCACAGTCGTGCTTTCTGCATAATCAAATGATACGTATTCTCTTCATTCCACAAGTTCAGCAAACGAAAACACTTTATCGGATAATTATATATTGTATTTATATATTTCACATAACATACTTTTGCGCAGACCAATGTTATGTCAGCCGCCATTCAAAGTTAAAAATATGCTTAAAAATATAAATACATTTTCAAAACAGGAAGCAAAATATAAATCGTTATCGGCCACTACAGAAACGGACACTTAAATATTGATCCTTAAGTATACGCGTACTCAGTACTGAAGTAGGTTTAATATTGTATGGTATTGTATATAAGTATGTATTGTATATTAAATATGCTCGTGTACTTCAATACAAATACTGTTTTCAAGTATCAACTACATTTTCGTATTATTTTTCATATAAAAATTAATTGAAATTTGCAAATTATTTTAAATTATTCAAGTATTTAACAAGGAAACTTAAATACTAAATGAGTACGTTGCTTGTTGTCGGGCGAAAGGACGCGGAAATTGAGTGCTCTTAAAACTGATAGCATTATCAAAATGGAGTGCAACAGTAATTGCGACAGTGATGCTGATGGTGTTGATGATTCCTACAATATAATGTTTGTCAAACACCTACACACCAGTGCGGTAATTGCACACAACAACATAGAGCAACCATAATAGACATTACAGCGCTTTCCTAGTGGCAAACAGGGCGAATAACGATGGTGTTAGAAGCATTCGCGTGCTAACAAGGAGGGAGCGATATTATCTCAGACACAGGTAAATGTAATGCTAAGGCATATTAGTTACGAACATCCTGCTGATTTTTAAAGCGTTAATAAAAGGCGAAAAGGAAGTAAAGTAGTCGAGAGTAACGGAATGTAGTGAACTATTATGCTGCATCGATTGGATCAATAAGATATTTTTGTGTTTCAAAAAGAACCAGCAGCACAGTACTGTGTAAAATAACTAGTATCTTACTTACTGCAGTTAAATGAGAAAAGTGATAAAATCGAATTACTACAGCTCGCATATACTAAATATTTACATATAATGAATTTCCTTATTATACAAGAGATGACTGTATGCCAAATATATTGGAAGATGTGTGAGTTATCTCAATAAAATGACAAAAGTAAATTAGCTCAGTCTAGACCTTCTACTAGACCCAAAATACCCGATATATCAATTTTCGAACTTCTAGCTAAAGTAATATTCCATTTTTTGTACCAGAAATTTTACAAATTCAATTCGTAAATTTTCTTAGCCAATTGGGCCATTCATCAGCACACTGTGCACTGACTGCACCCCAAAAAACATAAACAACGAGCGCAGCATATCAATTGGGGCCAACGCGTTGGGAAGCAGTTTCAACAATACACCAACAGCATATTGGCACCGGCGACAGCGACAGCGATCTCGGCAGAAGCAGTGAGAGTGACGCCACAGCCGCTGCCGCCCGCTACATTCAAGCACAGCGCCATGCAACTGTGCGCTGCTCATAATATACGCTAGCCCCACGTTGTGTGTAGTTGGGGAACGCTCAGCGCGCGCAGCGCTACGCGTTGTTGTTACTTGGCACTTCGGTTGTTCGGTCTGTTCGGTCGCTGCGAAATGCAAATACTACAATCACCAACGAGTGTTGATTTTTCTGCTTCGCTGTTGAGTTGTTGAGAGTGCAAACGCTCGTGCGAATGAATGAATATACGGTTGAAGACCGTCAGTTAGCCAGCTAGCCAGACAGTGAAGTAGCGCCGAGCCAGGCACCAAGTCACTACAATCAGTTGCTTTTCGTATCTATAACGAGTTGGTGGTTCACACTTAACGTGGTCGCGGACGATTTCACATAAAAAATTTGTGTATTGTAATTTATTGTGTATATTTGTTGTGATTCTAATTGGATGTGCCCGCGCGTGTGTGTGTATGTGTGAGGCACTTAGCACATTAGAATACAAATTAAATAAATACGAAAACGAGCAAAAATAAAACAATTCGTAATTAAAAAAAAAGTTTATTAATTTGGTTTGGGCGAAGTGCGATTGAAAAGGTAAAGCAAAATAGTGCGCAATTTTTCTAAAATTTGAATAAAAACAAAACTAAAAAGTTAATCTATTTTTAAAGAATTAATTTGCCAAATGCAAATTATGCCATAAACGCATCGTGTGCATTTGAAGAGGCATTAATTAAGTTTTAATAATATTTGTAAACAAGAAAACACAAACAAAAAAAATGTTGCGTTTTGTGTGCCAAAAAGTGTTGTTGGTGTTCATTAAAATTATAATAGATTGCAAAAATTGTATTTTTAGTTGTTTGCTGCTTCGAAAATCATTTATTTTGGTCATATGGAATTTTTGATAATATGAATAATAAAACAAAAATATTTAAAATTTAAATTTTCAATTAAAACATTTTATACAAAAATATTTAAAATTTCAATTTACAACTAAAAAATATCTAAAATTCGAATTTTCAATTTAAAAATATTTTAAATTTAAATTTTCTATTTAAAAAATGTAAAAAATAATATATGAAATTTCAATTTCCAACTAAAAAATATCTAAAACTAGAATTTTAAATTAAAAAATATTTAAAATTTAAATTTTCAATTAAAAAATTTTTAAAAAAATAAATTTCTAATTAAAAAATATTTAAAATTCGAATTTTCAATTAAAAAATATTTTTAATTTAAAAAATGTAAAAAATTATATTTGAAAATTCAATTTACAACTAAAAAATATCTAAAATTCGAATTTTCAATTAAAAAATATTTTAAATTTAAATTTTAAATTAAAAAATGTATAAAAGAATATTTAAAATTTCAATTTCCAACTAAAAATATCTAAAATGCGTATTTTCAATTAAAAAATATTCAAAATTTAAATTTTAAATTAAAAAATGTTTAAAATATAAATTTCCAATTAAAAAATATTTAAAATTCGAATTTTCAATTAAAAAATATTTAAAATTTAAATTTTCTATTAAAAAAATTTATATGATAATATAACATTTAAAATTTAAATTTATTTATCAATTAAAAAAATATTTAAAATATTAATTTTAATTTGAAAACTATTAAGATTTTAAAATTTTATAATAATATATGCAGATTTGTTTACAATTTAAAATTAAACGAGAAGAAAAAATTTTTTGGGGATAAAAAAATTAATTTTTAACTTTTTTCATTAATAAAGCAATGGCAATAAAAAAATAACTACATTATCACTTTTTGGGTGACTAAAATTTACTAGTTGAAATAAAAACAAAATTAAAAAATATTAAATTAAATTAGTTAATAAATAAATTAAGAAAAAGAAAAATATAAGTTTTTTTCCAAAATTTTAAAGATTAAATGTGATAAAAAAACTATACAATTACCTACATTAAAGGCAATTTTTCTTATTTTGGAAAATTGAGAATTTAATATGAAGAAAAGAGTCAGAAAATATTAGAAAAAATTAAATGCTGAAAAGTTTCTTTCGAAAATATAGCTTGGCTGTCAATTTTATGTGAAATAAAAAAAAAACAACAACAAACCCTTACTACGTCTGCACCAAATCTATAATACGCTTCACACGTGCGTTTCTGTATTTTGTATGGCAGTTATATGCTACAAGTGCCCCATCTGAACGATTTCTTCGAAGATTATAGCGTTGCTTTGTAGAATAGTCTGTGTCAAATTTCCAGAAGTTATCTTTTCAAATAAAAAAGTTTTCCATACAAGAACTTTATTTTGATCGATCAGTTTGTATGCCAGGTAAATGCCATAATGGTCCGATATCGGTAATTTCGACAAATGAGAAGTTTCTTGTAGAGAAAAGGGCGTACGCGAAATTTCAGATCGCTATCTCAAATACTGAGCAACCAGTTTGCGTATATACAGACGGACATGCCTAAGTCGACTCAGCTCGTCACGTTGAGCATTTATATACTAATATAAACTTTGTAGGGTCTCCGACGTTTCCTGCTGAATGTCAAAAACTTCATGGCAAATTTAATATACTCTGTGCAGTGTATAAAAATTATCAGCCAATGAAAATGCATTCACAGAACAAAAACATTCCACTTGCTTAAGCAATTTTTTTCTATCGCCAAAAACCAATTAAATTCACTTGAGCAAAAAGATAAACTTTTCGCTTAACTCTGCTAAAACAGGTCAAATAAATAAGACTAAAATTGGTAAACTGGAAATTTTATTTAATTTTATTTTAATTTTTTTTCTTGTACTGTTTTATAAAACAACGACAAAAAAGCGAAAAAGCTGCAATAAATAGCTTGTCAATTGTGTTGTACAAGTACCTAACAGATAATAAATAAACATCGCCATATCACTTGATTACGCAGCTGTTACAGGCGAAACAGTGGCAAATAAATATCAAAAAATAAAAAAAAAAAACGCAAAAACAAACTACAATACTTGAAACAAGTGCAAAAGCAAAAACATAACAAAAATTGGCAAAAAAAGAAAATAATCACTTTTTATTGTTTTTTGTAGTGCGAAGTAGCAACTGCGAGCGCTAAAACGAAAAACACACACTGTGCCACTTAAAACCTGCTAAATAAAATTTATTTTATTGCTTTTGGAAAAATCAATAATAACAAGATACAACCAATTAAATCAATTCTACCAATTCAATACAAGCTGTGTGCAGTCGACAGAGGAAGCAACAAAAAAAAAAATTGTAAAAAAGGCAAAACAAATAAAACATCAAAAAATTTTAAATAAAAAAAAGTTCCATAAAAAACTAAAATAAAAAAAATAAAATTACAGATAAGAACAACTGTAAATGGCCTAACAGCTTACAGCTGCTGTATTCAAGGTGAGTTACTGAGCAATGCTAAAAAATACAAAAACAAAAACAAAAAATAATCATCGAAGAGCAAATCAAATGATTTTGTAATATTTAGAAGGTGAGAGCAAAGTGAAAGGTGCATAAATATGTCTGTATGTATGTATGTTTGTAAGTATTGAGTTAGAACAGGAAGTTATGAGCGTGGAATTCCTTGACACTAATGCTATGTATGCACGTAAGTGTGCCTCTAACGCTTGCCGAGTAATAACATGCACGATTATCATAGCAAAAACAACAGCAACAAGAACAAGTTCGCACACAAAATCAACAACAATTCACAATTCGACACAATCAATGAAACATTTGTATGTATGTTTGGCATTTATGTACATATATGTGCATGTATGTGAAGGCGCTATGTTGTTGTTGTCTGCCTGCTGCTCACCAACCATTATCCTCAACATTGCTCAATTTCGTTCTCTTCCTTTACGCTTTCCTTTCCTGTTTTCATTTGCTTGCATGATGGCCTGCTCTTACAAGATTTTCCCCAATGCAATTTTTTGGCCTCAACAAGAAATAAGTGCTCGACAACAACAAATATGTTGCAACAATAGCAGTAGTGTTGATGCCATTTGGCCATATGATTTATGTATGCGTGTGCGTATGTATGTGTAACTGTATTTGCATATAATGTCCAACTCAGCGCTTGCTTGAACGCTCACGTGCCTCTCGCGTGCCAACACATACATACATACATACATATGTTCATATGTGTACCTGTGTATATTTGTTTAAGCTAGACGTTCGCTTGCTCCCAAAATTAATTTCGATTACATGATTAGCATGCTCGCTACTTTTTCTACTGCTCTCTATTCATTTTACTCTCAGTTTTGCTATTAAATGGCTTGCTCTACTTACCGTTTCTTGAATGTTGGTTTTGTGGTTTGGCGCATGCGTTGCATTTGCGGGTGTTTATTGGTGATTTTTTCTTAACAGTGTTGCCATTTGTTCGAAAATTATATTCTAATGAGTAAGAGAATGATTGAAATTTACTATAAAACAATTTTACTTGGGAACAATTTTTGTATGATTACTTGTGATTACTTTTAGATTACGCACCGATTCATCATGTACGAAAGTATAAAAACAGCTAGTTGGAAGCCTTCTTCTGCCTAAAAACAATTACTTTACAAGTATTTCTCTAAAGAATTTTTGTTTGCAAAATCTGTGTTATTTTTATTCTGCAAATTTTTTAAGTAAAATCATATTACATCTTTGTTAAGGTGTTATAAATCAAATTATTGACTAGTTCTGCGATCATTACCTATATTCATCTACAGTAGATACAATTTTTGTTTTGTTTTTGGATTTGCGATAATTTTTGGCAGCAAAACCGTTCTCACCGCTAGACATGTATGCATTTTCGGAGGTCTCTCGCTGATCGACTACGTAATCAAGAGAATCCAAAATGTTTCAAAATGGTTCGCTGAGTATTAAAATCTATAAAATTTACACTTTTTAATTAATTTCTTAAATTAAATGACTCTGCAAGAAAAATAAAATTCACAACAAATGTTTTTTTTACTTGCAAATACAACACCTTAAGCTGGAAATAGTAATTCTTCGATTACCAAAAAAAATATTGAAGTATTTCAGATTTTAATATTACACTTAAAAATTCTGCTACTTTTATTACTATAAATAAAATACCTGGCAACACTTTATTTTACTGCTTGCTCTATTATCCCATTTTGAATTTTTGAATATTACCCATTATTTTCGACATTTTATAATTGAAATTGTTTCAAAACAATATTAAAATAATTTTTTATTTATTATTTTTTCTAAAAAATATGTAGATTTATTTATCGTAATTACCCAACATACGAGAAGAGAGTCATCAGAAACCACTCTCAACAATGCGCTGACGCGCTCTTCCGCCAAATACCTAAAAGTTCTCATGGGTTTTCCAACAAACAAATTCGCTACATTATGTTTAAGTATTGATAATATTTTGAAAACTCATTGAACAAAGTACATTGTGACGTTAATGAAATAAGAAAATATACAGAATGAAGTAATAAATGTGATTTTAAGCAATAAACGATGTGGCCGCTGGTGAAACGCCGAAAAGTGGGCTAAGGCAATAAACAAATCGGCTGTGTTTATATATTTACATAGTTATGTGCGTAAGTGGATGCAAGCTGTGACTATATTATTTATAAACAGATGTACACACACTGACGTTTTAAATTTTGCGATTGTTGTTGCAAATATTGTTAGTGTAAACAACGTGTCAAATGTAGTGCAGTGCGACTTTTAGTCTTCATTTATTTATCTGAAGTGAGATAAATATATATATATATGTATATAAACATATTTGTATTTGTAATTATGTATAGAGAACACACTATTTCACATAGGAACTTGTCATGCGACTATTGTTTACATACCTATCCTGTAGGAAAAATTATCTGACCGAAAGAAATTCTACTAATAAGATTTTTAGCGACACGCTGAGCTAATCGATTTGAAATTTTGTATACTTTACAAGATATTTTCACGAATTTTGGCACAGATTACTTTTCAAGGTTGCGCAATAATCTCCAAACATAGTTTTTGGTTTAGACCGCTATAGCATATAGCTGTCATATAAACTGAGCGATCAGAACTAAGTCCTTGTATGAAAAACTTTTTTATTTGACAAGTTATCTCCACGAAATTTGGCAGGAATTATTTTCCAATGTGATGATTCAATCTCCGTACATATAGATAGATTAATTTTGAGGTATGCGCCGTACCTATTGTTTAGATCGAAGCACTATAGCATATAGCAGCCATGCAAACTGAGCGATCAAAATCAAAATAAAGATGCTTTTATACCCGGCTATGCTGTAAGAAGTGCACCTGTCAAAGGTATTATAACTTTTGTGCAGCCACAGTAACGTTTTTTCGTGTTTCTATATGGTATATGTATGTATGCATACTTATACGCTCCTATCTGTGTGAGTGCATTGAACCATCTGTCAGCTAGAATATTAAGTCGGCATGCGATATTTAATGTTTCCATATATATATTTCGCCAACCATTTATAAGCATGCAATCAACTATAAAACATTTACATATCTAGTACATATGTATGTACATACGTGCAAACACGCCAAGCCAAATTATGACAACAACCAGCGGGTTGGCAACTAACAAAGTGAAGCGAAATGTAAATGTGCAAATGGCTGGTATTTGCTAAGCATTTATCGTACATAAATATTTAATGCAAAAATGCTTTGCGCCTACAGCCAGTCACACATACACATACATCCACCAGACAACCAAACTAAACCCATTGCGCTGCCTAGAAGCGACGTGCGACCGTCATCGTGCCGCAAATAACTCAGCAGCAAGTTTGTTTTTGCAAGGAGTGTTACTTGCCTAGACACAGATATTTGTTCGTTAGTTTATAGACTATATATATATACATATGTATGTAGGCATTTGTGTGTAATAATAATGTATAATTTCTGCTCATCAGCTTATCATTGCTCAGTGTTGCGCAGCTTTAAATTTATTTGTGCTCGTAATGACATTTTCTGCTTGAGCTGGTCGTCAAACGTAAAAACCTGCTTTAATTTGCTTTTAATTACCGTTGGCGTTTGCTTTGATTATTTTGTGTTTTACTTTTCACACCGTTGTGAGTGCTTAATTTTCTACAACATTTACTACTTGTTGCTATTTTTGTGCATTCCATGTTATGTGGGTGGAAGAGCACCTTGGAGACAAAAACGCGTGTAGTTGGAAGGTTCTTTAGTAACGCAGAATAAAGAAAATTCTTGGGGGTTTTGAAAATAGTTTGCAATTATATGAAATTTATTAAGTATTTAAGTTTGCCAAAAATTTAGAATTAAAACAAATAAAAATTAATTAAAGGAAAATATAAATAAATTTGAAAACAATAAAAATGTCATATTTAATATAAATTTTTCATAAAAAAATGAATAAAAAAATAAAAATTTAAAAACAATTAAAATATCATTAATAAATTTTTCAAAAAAAAAAAAAAATAATAATAATACTAAAATAAATAAATTACAAAAAACAATTAATTAATTTAATATAAAATCAAAAAAAATATATATATAAAGCTTCAAAAAAAAGAAAAAAAATTAAATATAACAATTAAATAGAAAAAAGACAATTAATTAAAATAATAATACTAAAATAAATAAATTTAAAAAAAACAATTAATTACTTTAAAATAAAATCAAAAAAAAAAATATATATAAAGCTTCAAAAAAAAGAAAAAAAATTAAATATAATAATTAAATAGAAAAAAGACAATTAATTAATTATATATAAACTAAAAACATACTACATATATATATAAATTAAAAAGAAAGTAATAATAATAATATGATAAATAATAAATAAAATAAAAAAAATTATATATAAATCTTCCAAAATGTGTCTGCTGAAAATATGTTTTACAAACTCTAAACCATCATATCTCGAACACATTTTGATATATTCATTCAATATTTATTACCATAAACATTAACAGGCACAGAGTTAATAAGAATCATAAGATAATATAGAAGTTTATTTTTTTAAAATTTTTTTCTGTTGTATAACATTAAAAATATATATAAAATATTTATTAAGTTGTTTTGTTATCATATTATCTAAACATGCGCTTCCTTCTATATATAAAATCAAATAACAAGTAATTTATAACATTCGTTAGCTACTAGATAAATTAGCACACGCATTTTGAAATTAATTAAAAATTTACTATTTTCCCCGCACTAAACAAAGCTTTGACTTGACACCCATAAATATACGTATAAATATATAGATATCAAAGTATACGTGTATATACTATGTACCTACTATTAATGCAAAATTTAATCTCAAAAAGTCACAAGCACTTCAATTAGTCACATTTATGCAAACAAATCATGAAAAATTAATTAGCAAATTAATAATAATCAAATTATATGAACGACACTTTGACACTATTTTAAACATCGTCATGCATCAATAATAAACACGCACGCATACATCGGCAAGTGCGAGTGAAAACAAGCAATTTACAGCAATGAAAAATATAAATAAACAGATTTTCGCGTATTTATTTCAAATCAGCAAAAGCTAGTCTACTGATAATTCTACAATTTACGTCAAGCTGCTAATAGACCCGCATAGAGTTACTGAATGGGCTTTAGAATATGAGCTGCTATGATTTTACAGCCATATATATCATCAGAACAAATATGACCCGGACTGAAAAAAATCTAGCAACTTAGGTCTTTGTATGGAAAACTTTTTTAGTTGACAAGGTGTCGTCATAAATTATTACCCAAGGCATCGCTACAATATTCGAACATATTGTTCAGATCGGAGTACTATAGCATATAGCTGCTATCAAACTGACCGATCAAAATCGAGTTAAGTAACTTTTCATATTTTTCTTTTATGTTATTATATGTGAAAAACTGCTCCTCAGAAGGGTATTATAGCTTCGGTGCAGGCGAAGTTATCGTTTTTCTTGTTTTTATAACAGTGTATGTGCTTGAGCTGCGCTTCTGCTATTGACAGATCTACTTACATACGCATGTGTAGTAATTGCCAGTCCAGCCATACGTTACAGCGTATTCGATGCTCTCTGTGGCGCTATCAATTGATTCGCCGGGCCAGGCCGGTCAATCACCAACAAGCTAGTCAGCTAGAAAGTCAATAAACTGGTCAGTACCAGCCGAATTGTCTGTGTGACGGTTGTCAATAGACAAATGTGTATGTGTGTATGCAAGTATATATATTGCATGCATGCGTTTGTGTATATACAAGTATAACATAAGTGTCAGGCAAATACATATTCACGCTTCGACAAATGACCAGTCAGTCAGTGCTGATTTTAGCAAGTGATTACACGCAGAAAATCAACACAAATCAAATTTGTAATTTAAAAAAAAAAAAAATAAAAATAAATAAATAAAAATATTATTGTAACCGGTTTGCTCTTAAAATAGCAAATATATATTTGTATTTAGCTGCGATTGCGGCGTTTAATCAATTAATTGAGTGAAAATCTGTGTCGCTTGCAAAAATAGGCATCGCATCACTTGTCAAAGCGTGCAAATAAAATAACATAATAAAGTGTTTAATTAACAATAAATGGCTATAAATAGCTACACTCAGATCAGCGAGTGCCTTGTTTACATAGTTTCACGTGCGAACTTTTCGCTTACAAATAAGATAGTAGATTTATATATAAAATTTTCATATTTCACAGAATACATTTTCACTACAATTTATGCTAATTTGAATCGTGTTTTCCAGTCGTTTATAATTAATAGCTCATATGAATTTGTATATATATTGTATCAAGTTTAGTTTTATACCCTGAAAAGATGCCACAATGTTTGTAAACAAACAGCAGAATGAGAGAGCCTATACCTATATACAGCCTATCTATCTGTATACATATGTATATGAGAGCTAGTCCCTCAGTTTTTGAGATATCATTCTGAAATTTTGTACACGTTTTTTTCTTCGCCAAAAACTGCTAATTTGTCGAAACTGCCGATATCGTACTACTATAGCATATAGCTGTCATACAAACTAAACGCTCAAAATTAAGTCTTTGTATGGAAAACTCTTTCATTTGACCAGATAGCTTCAAGAAATTTGGCATGACTTATTGAAAGAACGCTGTTATTGAAGAAACGCTATAATCTCTGAGCATATTGTTCGGATCAGAGCACTATTGCATATAGCTGTCCTACAAACAAACCAAACAAAATCAAATTATTTTATGAAAGTTTTTTTTTTTATTTGTGAAGTGTATTATTTTTAATTTTATTTTCAGTCAGATAACAAGTTCTGCTACACAATAACGGCATAGTTACTATTAATTTTTTCTATTTTCATATGCAGGTACATACATACATATCTACCTACATATTGTATATGTCATTTTCATATGCAGGTACATACATACATTATCTACCTACATATTGTATATGTCATGTAAATACTCCCAGCTCGCACAAAGAGTCATTAACTCATTATCTAATCGCTGCTACTCAAATATGTAAATTGAGTAATTGCATTTGGATTATTTAAATTCTAAAACTTTGTAGAATCGCAGAGTCGCATAACTCGCGCAATTTAATTGCTTAGATGATATAAGAA